TTTTAAGCAATTAATGGCAATATCTACTTCATCAATGCTAATGTCAGCATTTAGAATTTCTATATAAATTTATCTATAGTTCATACATTTATCACAAGCATCTTCAGAATGGTTTGAAAAAAGCATCAGCTGCATCCATTAATCTGCATCCTTTTCATTCTTTCACACTCTAGATCATACCACTCATTGTTGTTGAATGAAATGTCAGTCTGCTTACTCTTCACATTCAAATTACTGCCAGAAGCACGATCTTCAAATATTCCAGTTACGCGGCAACAGCCATATTAGCATCTTAATAGATGTCCTGCATAAATTCTCCAATAGTATATCTATTAAGGGAATCGGCAGCATGGTTCACAAACTCATCTGCTACAACCTCTTTCCAAATAAATCTCTTTATGTTTTGTATACCATCAACGTCAGCTATATTTTCACTAACAGATGTCTTGGGTAAAGATTCATTCTTCAGCGAGAATACCATGGTTAAATGGTCCGATTCACAACGGGTAACTATACTTAAATCAATATTTAGGGCGAAACTTTCTGATGAACATAGACAATAATCAACATTACTGGCGCCACCTGTCTTAAAACATGTAAATGAACCATCGCTGTCTCCTGGACATATAACATATGTATATCATAGGTGCATCAATCATAACTCTTCCGTAGCTATTACACTCACTATCTTTTCTTTTCCTGGGCATATCATACTCATTTGATACTAATTCCATATCTTGGATACAGGGGATAAACCTGTAATCATCGTTAAGTAAATAATCGTGCATCTGCCCACGTCGACCATTGAAATCCCCCAGGGTAACTATCCTACATTCATACACTGTAACTGAAATAAACTTTGTTCAAAATAATCAATATCTTGTAATGTTCTTGTATCTGTCGCTACAGACAGAATATTTAGGGTGAACATAAACAAAACTTTAAATAATATCCCATTCGCAATTAAACATTTTTTTTGTCGATAATTAAATAAATAATGTCAGTAAAATCCATAAAGACGTTCTTAACAAAATGTTTAATACAAGATTTTATGCACACCACCATGTGAATTATAATCTCGATGGTTGACATACACATCACAATCACTAAACAAAGATCTTAACTTATCTTCATTAAGTTGCTCCAAATTACGACGAGGCCGACATCTGGAACTCTGAACAGAACTTAACGAAGTCCTTATTGGAAAGCTTGTGTCTAAGTCCATTTACATTTCAGAACAAAAAGCGAAAATAGTCTCAATTCCGGAAGTGCCGATGTTTACATTTTTACAGCTGATATTGTTTATGTTGTCACTTTCATGCTGGGCCTGGCCGTATCCCAAGCTCTCGCTCGCGTCATTGTTGTAATCACGTGATTTCTCATCGCGCATTGTCTGCACGTGCTGCACGCCTTGGTCTTTGTCTTCTGAGTTCAAACACACATTCCTTGTCGATTTCATAAGAGTACACTTTGTTGTCAATTTTTTTTTATCAAAACGAAAGACTGATTCTTTCTTGCTTCGATCAGCATATCCTTCATATGTCCGCGAGAGATCTTCGGACATCCACATCCCAGTCCCCTTCAGTTTACTCGCTGCTCTAAATAAGCGTTAACTTTCCTATCATGGCAATCCGGAGCACAAGCCACGATGGCTTTTCCTCCCATAATTTTGTAAGCCCCATTGATATCAACGTCCAAAAGATTTATTTCCAGTTTTTGTTCTGTTATTTCACGTACGGCCCTCTCACAGACATCGTTGCTATCATCATCATTGCCAACATGGACAGAGCTCCCCGATATACCGCGAAATATGACATTAGATCGACGGCTTTGATTCTCTAAATAGTCCAGTTTATCTTCTAATTTGGAAACATAATTTCGAAGTTTCACATTTTCTGTTTTCAGTGCTTTATATTGGCTCCTTATGTATTAAAGAAAATTAGAAGTTATTCTGTTTCGAGGGGCTAAGTTTAACCGGGATAACGGGTTTGCCTCAGCATCGGTCCCTGCCTTATTTGATGTAGAGCACATACAATAAGTGTGACATGTGTGCTATCTTTGATTTTGTTTACCCGTTTATCCTGCACCATTTGAATAATAGACAACTGTACACGCTCCTCAAAACAGAATAACGGAATCAAACCACTCACATAAATCAAAACAATGTACCTCTCTCATCTCCTTAAGCTGAATTGTGAAGTTGGAGGGTATGAAACGGTGCGCGTTCACGATTATTGCAGTGATATAGCGACGTGCATGCATGTGTGTGTGTGTGTGAGAGAGAGAGAGAGAGAGAGAGAGAGAGAGAGAGAGTATCTGTCTGTCTGCGTGTACTAGAATAGTCCGGACTATAGTGCTAGCTCACTGAGATACCATGCCACATGGAATAATATAACTCATTTAGATGAGGTTAGGTGAAATGATGCCATCATTTCACTCACATCGCGACGTGCAGGCACGTGTGTGTTTGGGTGTTTGTACTAGTCCGGACTTATGCCGGTTTTATAGTGCTAGCCCACTGAGATGCCATGCCGCAGTGTAACATGAATACCCTACTCCGACACAGTATACGACGAAACCGCATTACCAGCGAGTATATCTAAGTACACATTGGAGCCGACATGGCCCAGTGATTTATAGATTGCAAGAGACTTTGAGACCCTTCATGATGCCACAACACTATGCGAGTCTCTCTAGCAGCTTCTCTCTGGAGTAGGTGATCCGTCTGGATAACGTCGAAGAGCAAACATCGTGAACAGTTGCAATGTGCAAACGACGCCTCCATTAGACTGATCAGCCGATGACCGAAAATAGTCCCGTCACCACGTAATATTATTACACAATGTGTAATACAGCTGTATGTTTATGAGTGATATGTTTACTTACAGTGAGACCCGTGAAGAACCGGGGTAGAATAGGTCTTCAGCAACCCATGCTTGCCGTAGAAGTGACTGTGCTTGTCGTAAGAGGCGACCAACGGGATCGGGTGGTCAGGTTCACTGGCCTGTTTGATGCACGTCATCGTATCCCAATTGCGTGGATCGATGCTCATGATGTCAATCGCTGGATTGTCTGATCCAGTGTCGTTTATTTTCAGGCCGCCGTCATATAGCTGGAATACTGCTAAGTGCGGCGATAAACAACAAACAACAAAACAAATAATGAATCATGAACGCTTGAAATCACCAGAACTGTGACAGTGCTCACCCAGCAGGCTAAACTTGAAAACCCCATCCCTAATACAAAATAACCGTGAAAGATCTGGAAGACAATGAACGCATAAATACATTCTTCTATGGCTGTAAAATAGCTTTGATGACCTACTTTGTATCAGAAAGTACAGTAAAAATGTAAGGAGATGGTAGTTTCGCGCTTCAAGGGACCAAGATATTAAGCTTGAGACATGGACTTCAAATATTGTAAAAGTCGCTTCCCGGAAAGCTCTAACATGAGCCAGTTTTACACAGTTTAGCCTATCCCATACATGTAGCGTTGTTATTAGTACACAACTTGCAAGTGTTGACATAACAAAAGTCTAATTCTCATTAATATGAACACATATTTCTACAAAACTATTTGTAAACGCTAAGACAAAATTGTTATGGATGAACAACTTCTTTAGTACAATTGGGCGACGTTTCGGTGTAGATTCTAACACCGTTATCAAGCAAATGATGTACAAACTAGGTATGAGCATGATATACATGTATATACATAACAATAGATAGATCTTTATATAACAGATAAGGTTGATGTACACTGATTGAACAGGTAGTTATGATAAGACAAGTTTATACAAGAGATAGGGTTGATGTACAGTGATTGATGGGTATGGGATTACCACAAGGATTACTAAGAAGGAATGTATGGAAAGCCAGTGGGGAGATAATAGTTCAGTGTTGTTTTGGCAGCTGATGAGATCATGGTAAGCTGGAGGGATGTAGCATCCTTGATCTCTGTTTATGGCTGGCTGAATTCTTTTGATGCAAATGGCTTCTCTAAATTTTCTGAGCTTGAAGTCTTTCTGGTTTGTTGTTAAGATGTTGATGTTGTCCCACTTAATATTGTGGCTGGGGTGGATTTGGGTGTGGTCAGAGATTTAGAGTCTTTTTTTTTGTGTCTTTTTTTTAGGACAGAGGCATGATGTTCTTTTAAGCGTTGGTTGAGAGGTCTTGAGGTGTCTGAGTTACCATTCCAACTTCTAAATGCCACTCAAAGAAGTTATTTGTTAATTCTTTCCTCATTTCTCATACTATGCACAGCGTAACACCTCTTGGACATTTGAACGACAAGTTGTGGTGGTGGCAAAGAATAGATACTTTATTCTCAAAGTATAAACATGAAAAACCGGGCTATCAACAACATGGTCTGACAGAGGAAGATGGACACAGCTACACCATGGCACGATAGTTATGTTATTGTATTGATATTTTAAATATTGATAAATAGACGACAAAAATGTCATTCCTATTAACTTCACATTTCGTAAGTGTCAGTAATTCAACTGGACATATAAACTCGTTTGAATACACATATCCTTATAGGTCAATCGCCTTGTGATTGGTCCTAACGATTTCTAACTGCTCATGTTCTTTGAAAATAGTGTTACAACAGACCATTGGCCACAAAAGGATCCTTACCATACCTTGTTCTTTGGTTCTCAAGTGCGTGAGTGAGTGAACATGGTTTTACGCCGCATTTAGCAATATTCTAGCAATATCACGTTCGGGGACACCAGAAATGGGCTCACACATTGTACCCATGTCGGGAATCGAACCCGGGTCTTCGGCGTGGCGAGCGAACGCTTTGACCACTAGGCTACCCGACCGCCGGTTTGTACAAAATAATGTTCTCTGGGTGTCCTGAGAAGTATGTGTCGTGGGTCCCCAACACAGTTTGATTCCACCTCGACAGAACCCACATTGTGTCAAAATATGCCAGCCCACCACAGAATATTAACTGGTCGGTCCTAAACGAAATAAAACACAACAAAAATCAAATACTAGAACAGAACGTAGATTATTTATTTGAGATGGTGACACACAATGTTGTGATAATGGCTTTTAGATGTTTGATATGTCGCTTTCAAGCAATAATCATAGAAACATTTTTCAGGAAAATATCAGCGTCAACTGGATTTTATTGAAATTTCCAGACTTTAACGGAGTCTATCTTAAGGGCGGCGTCCTCCCCGCCCCGCACGTCTGGGTTCCACGTGGGGTACCACTGGTCCTTAGCCGCCCAGAACTGGGAGGCTGTGGCCTCTGTCCATGGCTTCGGGTAGGCGGTGTTGTTATAGCTGTCGTCGAAGTAGTTGAAACCACCGACGGCGACGTTAAGGATGATGTAGAACTGAAATAAATATGTTCAATGTATACATAGAGGTTATCACGCGAGTGTGTTTGGGGATGGTAAATATCCTGCATTAGGAATAAACATTGTATTTAGCGAGCCTTGGCGAGCTAAATACATAGTGTTTATTCCTAATACAGGATATTTACCATCCCCAAACACACAAGCGTGATAACCTCTTTATCATATAATGTCATGCTTTAATTCTGTGCTTTAAAATCGCTTTCCCTCTCTCACAATCATTACCGAAACATTGCGAGTTTTCCTGGAATGCGCGCATTAATATTTATTACGTCACAGGGTAAGTGATGTGTCAGTCGTACAGTGACAGTAGCCAATATAGTTCAAACTGAAATCTGTTTCTTATACAGTGGCGAAGCAACATATACGCAAAACAACAGTTGTTTTTAATTGCCTTTCGCGGCAATCCATCGGTCTGTCCGCTAGAGTAACTGCCCTTTGTCAAAGGGAAGCTACTCTAACCCTAGCCTATGAGACGTCACGAGCACGGTCAGATGTTGTTGACAGTCGGTCTGTCCTGTCATAACAGTCAGATGTACACACAGCGACAAAACCAAACAAGGTAACAATTCAAACATATTTCGGCCAAATCCAACTATTTTAATTTGTGGAGAAGGTTTCAAGTCGCAGAGGTCTACAAGCACAGATATTGCTACTGATCCCGCTTGGCTAGGCCTCGCGCCCTCGCAAAATTGTTTCGAAATTTATACCTCCAAAGTAGCCAAAACTTATAAAATGCCTTAGCTACGTCACAGTTAGACACTGATTTTCAGTATATTAGACTGTTCTTTTGATAATGATAGCAATTATCCCTGTTGTTTATCCAGATTCCCTATGGTTAATTTTGACTCGATCGCCGAATGACGAGGACGACGCCATGTTTGTTTATTAACAGTGAAAGTAGTCCTACTTGACCTTTGATATTTGCATCTCTATCCGCATATGACCCCAACGGATATCGTTTTTATCCGTTGGCTTTATCCTGCCGAGAAACCTGCCCATTATATGATAAACAGGGTTATCATGCGGAATAACGAATGAGTACAGAGTTGTCTCCCTTGGCGTAATGTAAAGACATACGTTTACGACAAGATGGGCAACGTACAGTTTGGGCGGTAGACACAATGTTGGACAGTGCGTGTCCCCAATATTCCATCTACCTGATGGCGGTCTGTACATAATTAAGTCTTTACCTGACAATCAGAAACTTGAACAGAAGATTTACACCGTCGGTGAGTCTGACCACTCGATCCCGTGACGTTAGTCGCATCTTAAGACCAGCATAGGTTGTTTGGGACCCGATTCTAATCCGGCATCACCACGGGGTTTGGCATGCAAATGAAATATATCAACCGACCATTCAGCTCGTAGAACGAACGACAGTCACAACCAGGTGGGGCAGACGATTGTTGTTGGAATTCACGTCATATTTAATGTATAGAGGAAAGTTGACTATTCTGTGTCAGTTAATATGTTTATGTCATCGAGAAGCAAAACACATTTCATTCGGCTCAATATATGATTATGTCAAATTTCAAAGGTCCTAAATATTTGTTTTTATATGAAACATTCTTTAAAGGTGAGGATCCTCCCGTGTTTACATACCTTGTGAAGAGAGATATTTCCATCACATGGGATAAATATTAGAACAGACAATCCAGCGATTGACATCATGAACATCGATCCACGCAATTGGGATACGATGACATGCATCAACCAAGTCAACGTGCCTGACCACCCGATCCCGTTAGTCGACTCTTACGGCAAGCATGGGTTGCTGAAGACCTTTTCTACCCCGGATCTTCACGGGTCACCGTTATATCTACCATTGTTTCAATCTTAGTATATGTTTATTTTTCGGCTTAACTTGCAAACAATCGACAGCAGCTAGAGGGATGGTGTACCGGATTTCATTTTGTACTGATAAATAATAGTCATAACTTTAATACTCTAATACCAGTTATATATACAAGCTGTTATAGTCCAGTTATTTTACCGTCCATCGTCGACAGGTTTGAATATGTTGGTGCCGTATAACCTGTTCTAGTCATGATATGGCTAAAATTCTGCCGTTGTGACTAAACCCACTCATTAACTCACTGAAGAAGTTGCGGGACAAATCCTTATATCGCTCGAGTGATGCATGATTGCAATGATTACCGTAGCGGTGGCAAACAAAGAATCACAATCGGGGTCAATGGGGGATTCGAACCCACAACCAGCGCATACTGGCAGGAACTAGTCACACACTGATTGCCTCGTCTATACGCAATGGTTATATGAAGTCCCACATGGCGCTGTCATCTGGACTGGGGCTACTTTGGAAATACAGTAAAGTAGGCCATTACCAAATTGCCATTTCCATTCGATTTGATGAGGGTTTATAAACATTATTTGCTAAGACCTAGAATAAAATGCGTATATTCGTGCATTACCTCTTTGTCGAAAGGAGCCATCTTGGAGGCACCTTTCCATGGGTTGTCGAAGCCTGTCTCGTTGAACTCCCCGAACCCCCAAAAGCCTGTGTCCCCGGGGGTCACGCGCAGGGTCTGTCTCCCGTCAAACGAGAATCTGAAATATGATTGATATGATTATTTTGTTTGGATAAATTGACAGAAACAGCATGACGCTGTATAATAATATGGCCTAAATGTCGCCGTATATAACCGAACACAGTGTTGTATATAACCCTACACGATGTAGTATATAGCCCAACACGATGTAGTATATAACCCAACACGATGTAGTATATAACTCTACACGATGTAGTATAACACCCAACACGATGTAGTATATAACCCAACACGATGTAGTATATAACCCAACACGATGTAGTATAACACCCAACACGATGTAGTATATAAAACAACACGATGTTGTATATAACCCAACACGATGTAGTATATAACCCAACACGATGTAGTATAACACCCAACACGATGTAGTATATAACCCAACACGATGTAGTATAACACCAAACACGATGTAGTATATAACCCAACACGATGTAGTATATAACCCAACACGATGTAGTATATAACTCTACAAGATGTAGTATAAAACCCAACACGATGTAGTATATAACCCAACACGATGTAGTATAACACCAAACACGATGTAGTATAACACCAAACACGATGTAGTATATAACTCTACAAGATGTAGTATAACACCCAACACGATGTAGTATATAACCCAACACGATGTAGTATATAACCCAACACGATGTAGTATAACACCCAACACGATGTAGTATATAAAACAACACGATGTAGTATATAACCCAACACGATGTAGTATATAACCCAACACGATGTAGTATAACACCCAACACGATGTAGTATATAACCCAACACGATGTAGTATAACACCCAACACGATGTAGTATATAACCCAACACAATGTTGTATATAACCCAACACGATGTAGTATATAACCCAACACGATGTAGTATAACACCCAACACGATGTAGTATATAACCCAACACGATGTAGTATATAACCCAACACGATGTAGTATAACACCCAACACGATGTAGTATATAAAACAACACGATGTAGTATATAACCCAACACGATGTTGTATATAACCCAACACGATGTAGTATATAACCCAACACGATGTAGTATATAAAACAACACGATGTAGTATATAACCCAACACGATGTTGTATATAACCCAACACGATGTAGTATATAACCCAACACGATGTAGTATAACACCCAACACGATGTAGTATAACACCCAACACGATGTAGTATATAACCCAACACGATGTAGTATAACACCCAACACGATGTAGTATATAACCCAACACGATGTAGTATAACACCCAACACGATGTAGTATATAAAACAACACGATGTAGTATATAACCCAACACGATGTTGTATATAACCCAACACGATGTAGTATATAACCCAACACGATGTAGTATAACACCCAACACGATGTAGTATAACACCCAACACGATGTAGTATATAACCCAACACGATGTAGTATAACACCCAACACGATGTAGTATATAACCCAACACGATGTTGTATATAACCCTACACCATGTAGTATAACACCAAACACGATGTAGTATAACACCAAACACGATGTAGTATATAACCCAACACGATGTTGTATATAACCCTACACCATGTAGTATAACACCAAACACGATGTAGTATAACACCAAACACGATGTAGTATATAACCCAACACGATGTAGTATATAACCCTACACGATGTAGTATATAACCCAACACGATGTAGTATAACACCCAACACGATGTAGTATAACACCCAACACGATGTAGTATATAACCCAACACGATGTTGTATATAACCCTACACCATGTAGTATAACACCAAACACGATGTAGTATAACACCAAACACGATGTAGTATATAACCCAACACGATGTTGTATATAACCCTACACCATGTAGTATAACACCAAACACGATGTAGTATAACACCAAACACGATGTAGTATATAACCCAACACGATGTAGTATATAACCCTACACGATGTAGTATATAACCCAACACGATGTAGTATATACTAGTAACCCTACACAATCTAGTATATATCCCTACAAGATGCAGTATATAACCCAACACGATGTTGTATATAACCCAACACGATGCAGTATATAACCCTACACAATCTAGTATATATCCCTACAAGATGCAGTATATAACCTAACACGATGTTGTATATAACCCTACATAATGTAGTATATACCACTACACAATCTAGTATATATCCCTACAAGATGCAGTATATAACCCAACACGATGTTGTATATAACCCAACACGATGCAGTATATAACCCTACACAATCTAGTATATATCCCTACAAGATGCAGTATATAACCTAACACGATGTTGTATATAACCCTACATAATGTAGTATATACCACTACACAATCTAGTATATATCCCTACAAGATGCAGTATATAACCCAACACGATGTTGTATATAACCCAACACGATGCAGTATATAACCCTACACAATCTAGTATATATCCCTACAAGATGCAGTATATAACCTAACACGATGTTGTATATAACCCTACATAATGTAGTATATACCACTACACAATCTAGTATATATCCCTACAAGATGCAGTATATAACCCAACACGATGTTGTATATAACCCAACACGATGCAGTATATAACCCTACACAATCTAGTATATATCCCTACAAGATGCAGTATATAACCTAACACGATGTTGTATATAACCCTACATAATGTAGTATATACCACTACACAATCTAGTATATATCCCTACAAGATGCAGTATATAACCCAACACGATGTTGTATATAACCCAACACGATGCAGTATATAACCCTACACAATCTAGTATATATCCCTACAAGATGCAGTATATAACCTAACACGATGTTGTATATAACCCTACATAATGTAGTATATACCACTACACAATCTAGTATATATCCCTACAAGATGCAGTATATAACCGAAAACGATGTAGTATATAACCCAACACGATGCAGTATATAACCCTTCACAATCTAGTATATTACCCTACACAATGTAGTATATAACCCTACACGATGCAGTATATAACCCAACATGATGTAGTATATAACCCTACAAGATGTAGTATAAAACCCAACACGATGCAGTATATAACTCTACAAGATGTAGTATATAACCCAACATGATGTAGTATATAACCCTACACGATGTAGTATAAAACCCTACCCGATGTAGTATATAACCCAACATAATGCAGTATATAACCCAACATGATGCAGTATATAATCCAACACGATGCAGTATATAACCCAACATGATGAACATATAACCCAACATGATGCAGTTTATACCCCTACACAATGTAGTATATAACCCTACACAATGTAGTATATAACCCTACACGATGTAGTATATAACCCAACATGATGCAGTATATAACCCTACACAATGTAGTATATAACCCTACACGATGCAGTATATAACTGAACATGATGCAGTATATAACTGAACACAATGTAGTATATAACCCTACACGATGCAGTATATAACCCAACATAATATAGTCTAGAACCCAACATGATGCAGTATATAACCCAACATGACCCGGTATATTCCAGATTCCGTTGATCGACTGCACTGTGTGGTGGCTTCTGCAGATGGCAAGCCTCATTTACATACGTGAAACAGGCGCACGATCTAAACGTGACGTACGTGATAGCGTCTTCGTCCCACTCGACTCCATACGTATGAAACTCATCTCCGTAAGTTCCGTTCTCTTTCACCCTGCCAACAGAAACGGATTGTCAACAAAAACAGTTCATGATTCAGAACTTAGGAGGTATGACAGCCATGAGCTGGACATGTTTCTACAATGTCAGTGGAGAATATACTTCGGAGCGGCTGACTGACTCGGAGCTGAACCCCAGTGAAACCCGTTAAACCGGACACGATTCCTTGTGGTGACTATTCTTAGTGAAATCGTCCGGATTATCGCGTTTCCCTATTAGCGAATCGTGGGTGCAGTGCAAGTAAACTTGGCAATTTGTGCAAATTTGGCTTTAGTTAGTCTTGACTCAGTTTCAGCTTCTTCTTGATCACAATCTGTTTGCTCTAAACCTTTAATTATAAGTTACGTATTTTGTAGATCATGAACAGTTCAGACGTACCAGGACTGGTGGGCACGTGACCAGCCGTTGTGGAAGTAGTCGGTGCCGAAGTGAATGGTACTGCCGTAAGAGTCGACTCCTACAGAGCGGCCATTCGCGTCGTAGTAGTGTCGGTTACCTGTGCGGATGAAATGGAATTAAGCACATTCTTGTCGTTCCAGATGCGAAAAATTCCGGTCATTCTTAAAGTTTCGAATATTTCAAAGAGAAATATTTGATGCCGTGACCCGTGGCCTAGGTGAAATAACAGCAAGTGTATACGAGTATTGCTGGATTTTGCAAATCAAGAATGAATGTATGTACGTAGGTGGAAAGTCAAACCAGAATATTTTAAGTGTGACACACATTTGAAAAAATGAAACTACCTCCCTGTTGACGAAAAGAAGTCCAACAATACCAAGGGAGATGGTTCAACGCTTATTGGTATATCAATACGAAATATAACGTTATGAAACAGAATTATGGCCAAGACTCAGTTGAATATGTTGTTCTTGTTAGAATTGGAATTTGGAACAAAGTTTTCAATTGAATAAGGTCATATTTGCCTCTGCTCTCCATGATGTCAATCTCGCCGGACGCCGGCCAACCGCCATACTCCGTGTACGTCGGCAGCATCCATATGGCTGAAACAGATGACCATTTTATATACACATGTGTGTGTGCGGGAGTGCGTGCGCGCGCGTGCACGTGTCTGACACAGATGACCATTACATATATGTAATTACATGTTGTCATAACGAATCCACGAAGAAGAGTCAAGTCGATGTTTGACCAATGTGACGGGTCTTCTGATTGGGGAGTGATGAACAAGCTAAAACCACGTTACCGTCATCGTTTGGAAGACGTTATGAACGCGTTATCAAGGCGGTATCGAAGCGAAACCTATTTGTTATCAACGCGCTACTTGTACTTTATCCAAGTGTATAGTGGCGTTATCAAGACGTGATTAACGCGCGTTACCCATAAAGCATTACCCACGAACTATAAAGGCGTTACCAACGTGTAAAAATAGGTTATCAAAGCGTTACCAAGGCGGCATCAATGTGTATTGCGACATTATCACCACATTATTCAGGCGTGATGCGCGGGTTATAAGGACATCAATGCGTTTTAAAGACCTACCAGGCTGAATTCATCTGTCTCGAGGAGGTATCAGTTTTAATATTATATAATGAAACCAAAAGTGCCTGTTGCAGCTGTCACAAATGCATGCAAAGGCAAGTCAAAACAGCATCACTTGCATAAGATAGCAATCAAGTCCTCCGCATGTCTGCCATAAAAAGCGTTTTGAAATCTGTCTAAGAATGTTGTAGCATTGGTCCAACAAATTTTGACATTTGAAATCTTTAGAGTGAGAGGACCGCCCCCGTTGTCCACTGGAAAGAGCTTCTGCCCGTAGAGCGGAAGGTCGTGGGTTCGATCCCAGGCCGCGTTGAAAGATGGTACTTCTTTTTACCCTGCTTGGCGCTCGGCATTAAGGGGCTAAAACAAGGATGGGCCAGCTCGGAGTCAGTATACTGTGTCTGAATGGGGTATTCTTGTTAAACTGCTGCATGGTATCTAGCACTATAACTCGGTAATAGTCCTTACAATCAGGCACACCAACACGTGCATGCACGTCGCTACAAAAGTGCAACATCTTGAACGCGACGTTAAACCCCATTTCACCTCACCTCATAGTGACAGCATCCTCGATTGTACCTCAAAAGTTGTGACATGTAGACACCAAATGGTAAATCTGTTGAAATAGTGCTCGACATAAGGAAATTGAATATTGGAAGTTAGAGCCAAGACTTAAGGACAGTAACTTATCATTCTGCATAGATCTAGGTACAAAACAGAGATGGGTGATCTAGTTCAGGGGCCTGTTCCACAAAGCGATCTTAGTGCTATGATTGTCGTAAGCCTATGTTAAAGTATGGGAGCTACGATCATCTTAGCGCTAAGATCGTTTTGTGGAACGGTGCCCAGGTCAGTAAGTCAGTGGAAGGGAATTGGCTATTTGGTTGGTTTTTGAACGATATCAGATAAGTTCAACTTTGGATAAATTCCCGTGTTTTGATTTTGACTGATATGCAAAGGGTAAAGGATGAACAGAATGGGACATAAAGTGTTTGGGACTTCCCGCCAACCGAATGCGTGGTTTAAATACCATACAAATGTGCCACTGTGGGTCGCGCTTGATGGGAGTTTTGATTTGAACTACAGTGTACACATGACTAGTGTATAACTCGTGTGACACATACCGGTCGCGATCGAAGGAACGTTTTAATCGAACATCCGCAGCGAGTTCAATAGAGTTGCCGCCCTTGGTTGTTGCTGACAAACTTGACATACTTGATCGTCCGAGAAGTTTCAGAATGGGACAGGTCTAGAAGGATAGCTGTACCTATATAAGAGCGACACGAGGAGGATTCGAGGCCTTTTACGACCTGCCGTGCTGTGCGTCTTCTATACTTGCTAGGTGCCGATTGGATACCTATCTGACAACACCGAAATCCTGCCAACTTTCAACACTATTCCGGATACAAGAGCGGGGACAGGTCTCTTTCAAGACGTTTGACAGTGACACTGCTGTACATTCGTTAGTGCACTGACATATATCAATTATGTATTGCCTTTTGTGAAACCCGAAACTGGGTATTTCAATATTATTCGTTAATAACTCATTGATCTTGTGTGGTCATTGATGATTTCACATTGATTTTGTGTGATCATTAATGATTTCACATTGATCTTGTGTGATCATTAATGATTTCACATTGATCTTGTGTGATCATTAATGATTTCACATTGATCTTGTGTGGTCATTAATGATTTTACATTGATCTTGTGGGATCATTAATGATTTCACAATTGATCTTGTGTGGTCATTAATGATTTCACATTGATGTGTGATCATTAATGATTTCACATTGATCTTGTGTGGTCATTAGTGATTTCACATTGATCTAGTGTGGTCATTTACTGATTTCACATTACCATGTTTGGCCATTTTCTGATTTCACAATTTAGTTCTTCACGAACTCATTTCTGGGTTAACATTTGCGTTTCAATTTGGAAATCTACAGGTCAAGTAATACAAATAAAAGGTAAACAAAAAGCTAACAGGGTTTTTCAATATAATTTGTTGACTTCTCATTGATCTTGCGTGGTCCTTTATTGATTTCACATTGATCTTGTGTGGTCATTTAACGATTTCACAATATAATTCTGCACCTACTGATTTTTGAGTTAACATTGGCGTTTCACTTTCGAAATCAGTTAGTAAAATAATACTCATCAAAACTAGATCCCCCGAAAGTGGCCAGAGCGCGAATTGCCTCGGGTGTATGATGTTTTGAGCAATAGTGAACACATGAATGATATGTGTAACAGGCACATGTTTCGCGTCCGGTTGCGATCTAGGGAAGGTTTAAATCGAACAACAGTTAGGAGTGATATATGATGTGTGAGTTACGTACCGGGCCACAACCAATCTCCCTTGGGGAGTTTAGCCGATATTTCCACCTTGCCGTATTTAAAGTTCAGACCCCTGGAGCTCCGGAGTCGGGCCGACTGAATGGGATTGATGATGTACTGGTGGTTGCCGATGCGCTCGCAGCCGTAGAAGGCGTTGCCAGTACAGGTGTCGTGCGGTCCTGCGCCTGAAATATAGAGTAAGTGAGGTAGTGAGTGAGAGTGCGAGAGAGCGCACTGTAAACCTTACCGTAACTGTCACGCTGTTTTATGATTAATCCACGTGAAAGTCTTACATTTTTATACCGTATTTATTACAACTGTACTGTAGTGTCCTATTTTTCTTCAGCTACGGTACTGTACTGCAAAAAACAGTTTCAAAGCTACCTTTTAACGGTATAATATGTTTGCCATTGCATCACGGGATGTGGTAGTTCCACGCCGCCATTACGTGTACGTTCTCAGAGGGGAGACGGCAGTAGGCCAATCTGCAATATCAGCCTGATAGAACAAACATCTGTACTAATTATGGTGATAGAAACTTTGATGAGGGCGTTTGGATGGTGGAAATTGTATTCTGTGTCAGTTTTCTACTCAACATATCTATTATAGACCTACAGCAGCTGTGTATTATCCTTCCCCATCCTGATGACAAAATGACATTGTATGATTGTCAACAATGCCAATATCAAGACGGAAGATTATAAAACATTGTGTAATTTACTATGCAATTAACAATCATCAGGGTCGTCGTCTATGACAAATGGGGTATGCTTGGGGCTAGTTCAGTCATCTCACCCTTTAAGCATAATCCTCTCATCCGCTAAACCCCACCCCGTATAAAATCCGCGTTTGAATTTGCCCTCAGGAACCAATGTTTGAACGAGGGTGGCCAAGTGGACCGGGTGGTCACACGAGTACAGAGAAACTATGCCACGGGAGGGCTTGAACGTTGCACATAATATGTCATTGGTTTGTCTGATCCAGACTCGATTATTTACGGATTGTTGCTGAGTGCAAGACACGAACAAATAATATATCAGCCATTACCCCACAGTTCAAGTTTTCCGGAGGTGAGGAAGGCCTCGCCAAACTGGTCCACCGTCAACGTCTGCAACAGACACATCACAGTTGCAACTCACGTTAATCTTGTCTCCCTGAGCTAATGCAGACAGACACATCTGATATAACGAAGACTGTCATAACAATACATCGAATATAACGATAAGTTTGATAACAAACGTGTGTGCATATGGATATTGAATATCGGATGTTGCGAAAACTCTTTGTAACGAAATACCAGTCATATAGTTTGATTCTTACGTAGTGAACACACACGTTTATTCATTGATCGAATATGACGAACGGAAAAGTCGGGGCACCTAAATCGATTTTCCCAAAATCGACCCAAATTTGAATTCGTTTCTTTTTGCATTCATTTATTTGTATCAGTAAATTCAGAAAGTTATACAGTTATTTAAAATTGAATACACCTTAAACACATTATATTCAACAAATGTTATGAATTACATAACACCTTTATGATTGCAGTTAGTACACAATGTTTATTTATGTTGTCCCTGTCCTGACAAGGTATTTGACCTAAGCGTCGTATGTCATTTGTTTGTATGTTTGTTTAACGCCGCACGCAGCAGTATGCCAGTTATACGGCGACGGTCTGGAAATAATCGTGTCTGGACAAGACAATCCAGTGATTGATACTGTGGGCAGCGATACACGCCGTAAGTGTATTATAACAGGGAATCAGCCTAAGCACTGAGCTGGGCCAGCGATCCACTTAGTCGCCTCTTTTCTGAGTGAGTGAGCATGGTTTTACGCCGCATTTAGCAATATTCCAGCAATATCACGTCGGTGTGAACCAGAAATGGGCTTCGCACATTGTACCCATATCGGGAATCGAATCCCGGGTATTCGACGTGAGGGACGAACGCTTTAACTACTAGGCTACCCGACCGCCCCGGGATCCGGTGGTCAGGCTCGCTGACTTGGTTGATAGATGCCTTCGTATCCCAAATGCGTAGATCGATACTCATGATGTAAATCACTGGATTGTCTGGTCCAGACTCGATTATTTACAGACCGCCGCCATATAGCTGGAATATTGCGTGCGGCGTTAAACAACATACAAAGAAACAAACAGAGAAACAAACCCACGGGGTCCTTGTGTGTTAAAACCGCTGTTTTAAATATGACGAAATTTACGGACAGGAATCAATGGGGACGTCGACTCACGGGTTTGATGTAGAGGACGCCATCGCGGACGTAGGTGTTGGTGCGGTTGTTGGTGTAGAACTGAAACTCCCAGTTCTGAAACACGATCGTGTTAAAAAGAATTGGTTTGTGGTCAGTGAGTTGGTTTTATCGTCGCATTCAACAGTATTAGGTGCAGTTACAGTAACAGTTACAGTTACAGTTACAGTTACAGTAACAGTTACAGTTACAGTGACAGTTACAGTAACAGTTACAGTTACAGTTACAGTGACAGTTACAGTTACAGTTACAGTAACAGTTACAGTTACAGTGACAGTTACAGTAACAGTTACAGTTACAGTTACAGTGACAGTTACAGTAACAGTTACAGTTACAGTTACAGTTACAGTTACAGTAACAGTTACAGTGACAGTTATAGTATCAGTTACAGTTACAGTTACAGTTATAAATTAAGGGGAAGCCCCAATCGGAAGTAGTGACGAATACCGCTTATGTGAGAAGCACTGGTATGGTGCTCACAAACTAGGTATCCTAATCAAAAGAGTATCGATTTCAAACTCCCTTGCAGCAGATCCTGGCATGGCTAGGGCACATAATTCTGCACAGCGAGTTGCAAGGTTATGGCCTACAGCGTGGGTCAATCGTGTAAGGCTTGACGCAGGTTAGGATATTCGACACATCAGTGTTCGACTTACGCCTCCCCCACCAGCCGTCAGCTCGTGTTCCCACACTTTGAAGTCCAGTGTGTCGAAGTTGTCGTGGAACATGAGGCAGGGGTACTCAGTGCACTCTGGTGTCGTTGTTGATGGTGTTGCTGTTGTGGCGCACGGCTTGTAGCAGATGGACGTCTTCATCCTGGAAGTAGTACCACCCACAGTCACGTGTGATGCATGTTGCGAGACAGTTGGGGGGACTAAGGGTATACATCACATCGAGCAATACTGTGTAGCGATTGGTAGTTGTGCATATAATCCATAGTGTGTACTGGTAGTTGTGCATATAATCCATAATGTGTACATGTCATGCAATACCTACAAGGTAAGTAACTCAATATATCTTACATGGATGTTACAGCATCTGTCATACAGTATCTGCTCCATGATATGTAAAAGTCATACAATATCTGCTCCATGATATGTAAATGTCATACAATATCTGCTTCAGGGTATGTTAATGTCATACAATATCTGCTTCAGGGTATGTAAATGTCATACAATATCTGCTACAGGTTATGTAAATGTCATACAGTATCTGCTACAGGGTATATACATGTCAAACAATATCTCCTACAGGATATGTAAATGTCATACAATACATGTTACAGGATATGTAAATGTCATACAATACATGCTACAGGCTATGTAAATGTCATACAATATCTTCTACATGATATGTAAATGTCATACAATACATGTTACAGGATATGTAAATGTCACAAAATATCTGCTACAGGGTATGTAAATGTCATACAATATCTGCTACATGATATGTAAATGTCATACAATACATGTTACAGGATATGTAAATGTCATACAATGTCTGCTACAGGGTATATACATGTCAAACAATATCTCCTACAGGATATGTAAATGTCATACAATACATGTTACAGGATATGTAAATGTCATACAATACATGCTACAGGCTATGTAAATGTCATACAATATCTTCTACATGGTATGTAAATGTCATACAATATCTGCTACAGGGTATGTAAATGTCATACAATATCTTCTACATGATATGTAAATGTCATACAATACATGTTACAGGATATGTAAATGTCACACAATATCTGCTACAGGGTATGTAAATATCATACAGGCTATGATAATGTCATACAATATCTGCTACAGGCTATGTAAATGTCATACAGTGTCTGCTACAGGGTATGTAAATGTCATACAATACATGTTACAGGATATGTAAATGTCATACAATACATGCTGCAGGGTATGTAAATGTCATACAATATCTTCTACGTGATATGTAAATGTCATACAATACATGTTACAGGATATGTAAATCTCATACAATATCTGCTACAGGGTATGTAAATGTCATACAATATCTGCTACATGATATGTAAATGTCACACAATACATGTTACATGATATGTAAATGTCATACAATACATGTTACAGGGTATGTAAATGTGATACAATACATGTTACAGGGTATGTAAATGTCATACAATATCTGTTACAGGGTATGTAAATGTCATACAATATCTGTTACAGGGTATGTACATGTCATACAATATCTGTTACAGGGTATGTAAATGTCATACAATATCTGCTACAGGGTATGTAAATGTCATACAATATCTGTTACAGGGTATGTAAATGTCATACAATGTCTGCTACAGGTTATATAAATGTTATACAATATCTGCCACAAGATACGTGACACTTTTACAATAACGGCTGCAAGATGTCCAAATGGTTTACGATATATACTACAGTGTATGTTAATGTTTAAGAAGATCTGCGATATGTTTCAGTATTTCACAATATTTTCCGTTAAGTGAATAACAGTGCCACAAAGTCCGCATTGACAAAACCAATAACTAACTTCTACAATGTCCATGTAAGAAGGAGGACATTCACATATACTTGAACGTAAAACAGAAGCGAGTCTATCTGTAAGATAGAATGCACTATGGAATATCATACAGTGACCCGCTGTATTCCTGGCAGGGTGAGTCCCATTCATGACCAACTCGTGTTATTACGGGACAAGCCGAATAGCGACTCGTGCCCCTCTCATGGCCATTTTGTGCGACCGGGTTCCGTCTTAGCGCAAACGGGCACACCTAAAACCATTGTCAACTCGTTGCGTAATGGTTCTCATATATATCCCCATATATTATATATATTTCGATGCAATTTAAAGCACATCGGGACGTGCGGAATTGTACAGTGTGATTGAACACACTTAACTGTGTCTTGGGTATATTTTTAGACGCAGGACATATGTAAAATCAAAAATTATTTCTGAGGGATTCTTTGATGAAGAACTTGAAATCATACGCGCATTCTGATTGGTTTGTCGTATTTTCGCACATAACATTCATCGATAGGGGGACGAGTCTTCTTGCAGGTTAAGGAAAGGGGCGAGTGGTGACGAATGGGTGAGTCCCACTGAAAGAAACTAATGCTATTTTACAGGGATTGGGTTACATGCCTTTGTTAACTAGTGAGACACAATAGAAATCCAGAAAATGGGACGTATTAACGGGGTATCACTGTACAAACTATAAGATCTCTAGACTACTCGCTATAAAAGTTAAAACGTGCACATGGTTTGCCAGGGACATTGTCATGTTTTCGACCTTTAGGACACACTAAATAGTCGACAATGGTAAAAGTGCGAGAATGTCCCTTTCAGCATTCCATACTTACCTGTATTTGGTGCATCTGGACCAGTTGAGCCAACCACATCCCTCGGTATATCTCTCCGATATCTGGCAGGCGTAGGGGCAGTTACTGAAGAACAGAGTGAGTGAGTGAGTGAGTAGTGGGAGGTGCGAGTGAGTGAGTGAGTGAGTGGTGGGAGGCGCGAGTGAGTGAGTGAGTTAGCTCAATGACAGACATCAGGCTTCTAACATTAGTAACATAAGTTTTTTGTGCCCAATCAGCAATATGAAAACGTTAGCATGGCGGTACACCAACAATAAAGCCTTGAGCAAGCAAACCAGGTGACGATAGCCCGAACACGTACCGCCCATGTACGCTGGAAACAATAATCTAGGTCACTGATCAAGACCATCCGATCCCGTATTTTAGTCGTTTTCTATGACAAATATGGTGTGATTGTGGTCAGTTCAACCCTCTTACCGTGAAACCCCTGCCAATGTAAGATGATGTCTCTGTTGTTGTTGTTGTTGTTGTTTAACGCCGCACTCAGCAATATTCCAGCTATATGACGGCGGTCTGTAAATAATCGAGTCGGGACCAGGCAATCCACTGATTGACATCATCGATCCACGCAATTGAGATTGATGACATGCATCAACCAAGTCAGCCAGCCTGACCACCCGATCCCGTTAGTCGCCTCTTGCGACAAGCATAGTCGCCTTTTTATGGCAAGCATGGGTTGCTGAAGACCTATTCTACCCCGGATCTTCACGGGTCCTGTCTCAGTTCTTACGTATCTACACCAAGGTTAACGATCGCCCGATTCTTTCATATTACTTTAGTTAATCTATCATGTAATGTGTTCGATATATCCCTGCAATGGTGAAACCAAATGCACGTCAAACCTGACACAATACAGAAGTAATAGAAACAATTGTGTCAAGGGATATAACAGAATTTATAGGTAAAAGTTTGGGGAAGAGAGTTACATTGTATAAATTCATTTTTCGTTGAAAGGCCTGAACTAAAAAATAGTTAATATTGTGTCTATTTTACATATTTTCATTTTGTTTTCTTCTTTCTTTTGAATAATACCGCGGTAACCTGTACATGATCAAATATGGTTCAGGGAAACCAGTGATTGATAACAAGCACAACAAGCCAAGTTGTCGGGCACATGACGTCACCCAATCAGGAAGGTCATGCATTGTGACCATCAGATCCTAGTTTTAGTCAACTCTAACCTAAAACAGGTGGTTATGTGGACCTATTCTTCCTGGGAATCATCTTGGGGTCGCAGGAAGGGAGTATGGTTTTACGCCGCTGTTAGCAATATTTTAGCAATCACAGCAGGGGACACCAGATATGGGCTTCATACACTGTACCTATGTGGAGAATCGAAGTATATACAATAAGTGTATATAAATGTATTGATGTATGGACATTGTATCAGGGCATTGATATGGAATTGTATCAGGGCATTGATAGGGCATTGTATCAGGGCATTGATATGGACATTGTATCAGGGCATTGATATGGACATTGTATCAGGGCATTGATATGTGCATTGTATCAGGGCATTGATATGGACATTGTATCAGGGCATTGATATGGGCATTGCATCAGGGCTACTCCGGGAGTTGCAATACAAGCAACAAAACACATCCCGTAAACATAATAAATCTGGTTGTTTGTTTGTTGTTTAAGGCCGCACCCCGCAATATTCCAGCTCTATGACAGCGGTCTGTAAATAATCGAGTCTGGACCAGACAATCCAGTGATTAACATCATGAACATCGATACACGCAATAGGGATCGATGACATGCATCAACCAAGTCAGCGAGCCTGACCACCCGATCCCGTTAGTCGCCTTTTACGACAAGCATGGTTTGCTGAAGACCCATTCTACCCCGGATCTTCTGGACTAGAAGCAGGGTCCATTGTACTGTATCATAAGCATGTGTGTATGAATCACTATTACGAAGTGATGACACCAGAAACAACCCCCAACCCTCTCTTTATAAAGGACGAGCTGTGCTGACGGCTCCTTGGCCCACTGGTAATTTAGTAAAAGGATCATTGAAATACTGAACATGTTCTTATGACAGTCTTTTATATTTAGTTTTCAATATGTGAACATATGGCATGAGAAAATAACGAAAGTGGATAAATAATGCGATATGTACATTTCTTAACTCCAAGAGAAAATCAAACTAGGCGCATGTCTTTTAATATGTCTTTGCGTTCAAACATTGCCCATTTTACAACATAAGAACTGTTTTCTGACAATCTCAAAATCCGAAACATTCAAGTATGAAAAACACAATTGCATTCATATGAACACATTTAATAAGAACTTCAACAAAAAAATCGCAATTCTGTACATAATGCACTTCCAGTGGTGAGGTGATGTGAAATGGGGTTAAACGTCTCTTAAAAGTTTGCACTCATATAGCGACGTGCATACACGTGTGTGTGTGTTTGTCTGTGTGCTTGTACCAGTCATCACTTATGCTGATTTTAGAGTGCTAGCCCACTGAGATACAATGCCGCAGTTTAACATGAATACTTTACTCAGACACAGTATACTGACTCCGAGTCGACAAGTGCTTGTTTTAGCCCCTTGATGCCGAGCGCAAGGAAGCTTAACAAGTACAGTCTTTTAAAGTGTTTTGGTATGCACATCTAGTGGGCTAAAAGGGTCCTTATCCGTTTGTTAAAAAAATGTTTAACTTTTAATGAAATCATACTGTAGTGTATTTAACAAATGTTTGAATAATCACCATTCACGGGTGATATGCAGACATTACCGTGTTCTTGAAACCAGCACATAGTGTTGCAGGTTTTCCCTCACCCCGAACGTTTTCTCACAGAACACATATCGGAATACAAAGCATGGCGTTGTTAAGATAACTTTGAAAACAGTAGGGTTGACATATCTTGACGTTTTGAAGAGGTATCTAACGGTCTATCGAACATAATGTCTAAATGTCGAGTGTCCTTGCTTGGAATGTTCACATTCAAAATGTCTTTGGTTCTTATTCCAGTGATATGTACATTGGCACTGTACAGTTGACGGCACCTCGTTAATCATGTATACAAGGTAGTTGAGGGTACATTTATACAATATAATATACATTAATAGCCATAATAACTGTTAAATTACATCACGTCGTTGAATAAGTGCCTGATTTCTAAGATTCATGGCATGGAAAATGAACATTGACAAATGTTTAATTGTTACAGTATTTTAAGTCTTAATTTATAAGTAAAATTTATACAAGTGATGATCCTTAAAAAAGTAATCATTGATGAATTAGTTTGTAATGCCAACACAGAATGCACAAACAAGTAAAAAGTGATATTCATCTTCTATATCATTAAAACTGTACAGTTGACAGTCTTCTTTTTAAATTCTATAGTGTCCGCTTGATTCAATAAGAAGATCATGAGAATTGCGTCTGAATCGTGCCAACGCCCCTCGGAATTTCTTTATATCTATTTCGCACAAATAATGCTCTCTAATTCAGTTTGTTTTCATATCCTAAAGGTGATTTCATTTATTGGACTAGGGAAGATAACCATTTTTGGAAATACGTGACTTTTAAAAACGTTGTGAAGTCAATAATATATCTCTCTGGTAGAGCTACAGTTTGTCCAGTGATCACAAAACCATACCGGGTTGAATTAATTAACTGTGTGACATACGATGCCCAGTTTGATTTACCCTGACGATCGTAGAGTAACGCTATGTTGTAGCATTTCTTTGGATATCTTGAATTTGGCATCTGTAGTAATTTTAATCAGTATTTAATAACTTTTATATGAGCGTTTATGAACAATGGACATCTTTCACATTCACCATATACCATAATATTTGGAGTGCTATGTTTAACACCGAGAAAGTTCTTACGAGCATGTATATGAATCTTTTCAATAGCATCTATATGAATCTTCTGAATCCCAAATCTATCCATCAAAATAGGGCTAATTTTGTCGTCAAAGATTTTGAAAAATGTATTAAAGTTACATTTCCAAGTTGCTTGAGGGTTTGAAAACATTTTAGCTTGTAAAGCAGCCTTATTAATAAAAGTCGTCACCCAACATTATGTGAACATTGTTTCACTGCGAGACGATATCAAGCAAATCATTCTGCAAGTGTATTAGACCATAAGTGCACTTTCTCATTGCATTTTTATACCAGGTTAAAAACGAATATACACACATATCGTAAAACCTCGTTAATCAGGTACAGTATGAGTGAGTGAGTGAGTTTGGTTTTACGCCGCTTTTAGCAATATTCCAGCAATATCACGGCGGGGGACACCAGCAATGGGCTTCACACGTTGTAGGGTACAGTATGAAGTGAAATCGGCCGGATTAATACATGTCCGGATTACTGAATGGACGGCATGGAGTAGTTTAATTAAAACTATGAGCCTAAATATTTTTTAAAACGCATCTTGCAACAATTTATTCTTTGTGGCAGACAACTTCTTTTTCAGCAGTCTAAAGCATCATTATTTTTTTCAAGCAATTTCTGGGACAAAATATTTTTCGTTACCGAATATCAAATGACCGTTCCCCAACAGGACTGTCCTGAAGTAGGATTTCCGGATTAACGGAGACTGCACTAACGAGGTTTCACTGTAGCTTATTATTATAACTTACTTTGGGCTCGTGTCGTCAGACTGTGCAAAGACAGATGACGCCACACAGATGACGACGATCGCTGTCCTGACAAATCCCACCATGTCTGTTGGCCTGTTCGCTGAGACTGCCCTGCCCGTGCAAGGGGATCCAGGTACTTGTAGAGAGAACTTGCATAACGTCAGGGGCGTGAACCAGAGCGTGACGTAGGGTGCAGGGTAGTCACAGGGTTAGCCAAAGGGGTAGGGGGCGTGTCTAAGGGATAGGGGTAATATCTATTCACGGTAACGTCCGGTTGGGGATTTAGTAAGTATGTGATTTGGGTTAAGCGAGCCTTGAAAAAGTAGAACAATTATGGCACCACGTGTCAGCTTGAAGTTTAAGTACAAAGTGCAAGGGGACGCAGATCTTAGATGAGTATTATCCCTTTGGTGACACCCACGGGTATGGTTCTGACAGACCAAGGGCACACGAGCACGGGTATGGTTCTGACATACCAAGGGCACACGAGCACGGGTTTGGTTCTGACAGACCAAGGGCACACGAGCACGGTATGGTTCTGACAAACCAAGGGCACAAGAGCACGGTATGGTTCTGATAGACCAAGGGCACACGAGCACGGTATGGTTCTGACAAACCAAGAGCACACGAGCACCGTTTGGTTCTGACAGACCAAGGGCACACGAGCGCGGTATGATTCTGATAAACCAAGGGCACAAGAGCACCGTTTGGTTCTGACAGACCAAGGGCACACGAGCACGGTATGGTTCTGACAGACCAAGGGCACACGAGCACGGTATGGTTCTGACAGACCAAGGGCACACGAGCACGGGTATGGTTCTGACAGACCAAGGGCACACGAGCACGGTATGGTTCTGACAGACCAAGGGCACACGAGCACGGTATGGTTCTGACAAACCAAGGGCACAAGAGCACGGTATGGTTCTGGTCTGCAGTGGAATTAAACTGTGTGTATCTGTCTCAAATGCGGCAAATGGTGCTGTGGTGGACGTTAAAGTGGCGTGCAACAGAAGACCGCGATGCCCCTCTTTGGATACGTCCTATGGCGATGTTCCGATCGGCAGAGCTGAGTCTCGGCATTTTCAAAAAATGTTGACAATTGACTGACAAATTATTGGCTTATGTTTGCCTTTTATAGCCACTACCACGAGTTACGAATGCCATAACTTGCACGTGCATTTTGCTTTACAGTTTTGCTCCATGACATTTTTTAACAAGTGTGAAAACAATGCCGTTTTAAACATTGAAAATCGACAGTGGCTGCGTTTTGACACACCGTTTGTCGAATATCAGGCCACCAACATTTTTGAAATATCACATATCCAATTTATATACCGGACTTCTTGTTTGGCAGGTTCAATGAACTACATACTACCAGTGCGTTTCTTATGTTGAAGAGTGTAACTTCTATCTGCTAGTGGTGTACATTATGGCCTAGTGGATAGAGCGTCTGCCCAGAGAGCAGGTCAGTGTTTCGATCCCTCGGCAATAAATGATGGTACTTGTTGTTACCCTGCCTGGCGCTAGGCATTCAGGGGATACAAAAGGACTGGTCGGCTCGGAGACAGTACACTGTTTTTCAGTGGGGTGTCTGATGCTACACTGCGGCTGGAATCTCAATAGGCTAGCAATATTATAGTCGTTGCCACTTGAAATAAAATCGCAAAATATCGCGATGATTATTCAACGTAGATTGCCGCATGTGCTCTAATACTTATTGAGTAAAAACAAGTAATTGCGGCCATAACTAATAATATTAACAATAATGATAAAAAATATTGCAAAGTGCGAAATTTCCATTTTGTTGGCAATAATGACAATCTTTTAGTTTTTACCACGTGGGAATCGGAAGTCAGGTGACTACGAGCGGCTATATTTAGCAGTGTGTGCAACCTATGTTCACAACCTGCACGAACAGAAAGAAAAATGCGTGCATATGTCATTGTTGAAGCCCTATTGACCTACATGTAGTTCGAGAGGTCTTTTTGATTTGGTGATTGGTGTCAGATTGATTTGCGTATTCGCATTGTGTTTACTGCTCGTACAAATGATACATGGATATGTTAATGTGTGTTTGGATAGGTGATGTACACGTGAATCCATCCTGTATATTATTCTAGCACAGACAGAAGGTCATGGTAGAGCATGGCGCTACTTCCCGCCGTCTCCAGATCTGGGTCAAGGCCGTATTTCGCGGATCCCGTCATGTGGAATCAGTAACAATACACCGACCAGCTCTGTTGACATTTCAACCTCCACTGAGAACTGGGTTACACAACATGCAAGATCTTTGTTGAGGTATGTTGACAAAGAAGTTCACATTTCGATATTCGTGAGAAGATAAATTACTTCACAATCTCGGGAGGGACGTCGGGATAGTCGTTCTGGTTTCTTCCACCTTGATATTGCTGAACTATTGCTAAGAGCGGCGTCTCTCGGGTCAAAATATAGAACAGATTCCATTTTTTTACGACGATAGACAATGATGTGGTAGAAGTCAGCAACGTCTGAGGGGGTTCATGATAACAACAATAAGAATACGAGTCAATAGCAAGTCTTTTCATAATATGCCAGGTTCTAATGCCCATCGTCTGTCAGTGACGTGTCGTATGACTCTGAGACGTAGGCGGTTTCCCACTGACTGGGCAGATATCCTTTGCAGTCATGGAATTGCAGCAGCGAGTATGGGGTAGATGTTGGTCGGGCACACACACAACACAAAGGTACTTGTAGGTTCAGATGACAGCCATGTTTATTCAGAGTGCATTATCACAATCATAATAATAAGCCCTGGAAATATAATAAAAAACAAACATCCCAAAAACGTAATACAGCTTGCGTAGAGATCACTCACAATTACACGACTTCACATACTTTACATATTTTTTAGGGGGGATACGGACGGCGAAGGCTTAACTCCGCAAATAATGTCGCCATGAGAAGCTGTCCTGATTTGCCGTTGTGAGTCATGTGACGTACATGCCGATGGTACCGATACCAAAGTTTGGAGATGATGTTCTTTGACACACTGAATCGCTACAACAACTTCTGTACTTTTTCTGCCATGCGTCCGACGACGTTGTTCGTTGTGCTTCTGTTCGTCGTGTTATGCAATAATACAGTTTAGAGATAGCGTTTCGGCAAAACTAAAGATCGACATTTCCCCAGCAACCTATGCATATCTTTAGATCTAGACTCAAATGATCACGTTGTCAGGATTGGTAATTTGGTGGATTCCGCATAATCGTCCCTTTACGACGTGGGACGTTGCTCATGATGTTAATCACTGGTTGAGCTGGTCCATACTCGAACACATTCCCTTTGGTATTGTTTTCAGGAGTATAAACGGGGCGGTCGGTAGCCTAGTGGTTAAAGCGTTTGCTCGTCACGCCGAAGACCCGGGTTCGATTCCCGACATGGGTACAATGTGGGAAGCCCATTTCTGGTGCCCCCCGCCGTGGTATCGCTGGAACATTGCTAAAAGTGGCGTAAAACCATACTCACTCACTCACTCACTCACTCACTCATGAGTATAAACACGTATCGACTGATCTATGGCAAGAAACTTCCACTGTGCTCTAGCTTGGAAAAAAATCAAATCGTTGGTTGTGGAAAAATGTGATGTAAATGTTGTATTCACAACTTAAGTAAACGTTATTATCCATACATCCATTATTTATACATGCTTAATATTTTATTGGTCCGTGCAAACAAGTTCGCATTTCAAGAAGCAGGTTAATCCTTGAAGCCGACTCGACTTTGCCCAGCATTGTCAGTCTTCACTCAGCAATCCAGTTTCAATGTGGTAGCTTGTGTAAGCAGTATGCTATGTTTTTAAAGGTCACAAACTGGTACTCGAGACGTACATAGAGGACAAGAGTACCTGATCGGGGGAGAAAACCTACAGCTTCATTTCTCAAACGTGTTCTGGGGGCTGAACGAAAATTGGTCGTGTGGTGACGCATTTTGCGATGAGACTAAGAAAGAGACAACATGTCAAAATGTGGCATATTGCTGTGTGTCGCCTTGTTTCTTTATTTGATGACATAACGCCACAAGCAAAGTCCTCCCAAACATCAGTTTTTCATTTTGTACCCTGAACAGATGGTCAGCCATCTCTGTAATGAATATGATGCATGTCCATTCACAATAAGCAACGACCCGTGAAGATCCGGGGTACAATAGGTCTTCAGCAACCAATGCTTGTCCTAAAAGGCGATTATGCTTGTCGTAAGAGGCGATTGACTGGATCGGGTGGTCGGGCTGTCTGACTTGGTTGATGCAAGTCGCTGGACTGTCTGGTCCAGACTTGATTATTTACAGACCGCCGCCATATAGCTTGAATGTTGCTGAGTACGGCGTCATGATGAAGATGAAGCCGTACGCGTTGCTTTGTTAGAATGACGTGATGCCCTACAGGCATTTGTTTTAAATTGGGCCATGTCCACCCGGTTATGTTTTGTTGTTGTTTTACGCCGCACTCAGCAATATTCCAGCTATATGACGGCGGTCTGTAAATAATCGAGTCTGGACCAGACAATCCAGTGATTGATATCATGAGCATCGATCCACGCAATTGGGGTCGATGACATGCATCAACCAAGTCAGCGAGCCTGACCACCCGATCCCGTTAGTCGCCTTTTACGACAAGCATAGTCGCCTTTTACGGCAAGCATCGGTTGCTGAAGACCTGTCCTACCCCGGAATCTTCACGGGTCCCCGGTTATGTGTACTTCCCGAGGAGTATAAACTGGGTCATCATGCTGAATCTGATGGCTACGCCATAGACCCTCCTCTTCCATGAACATTCCAGGGATCCGCCTATGTAGTGTCTTTTCTTTGCCGCACATTTCTGGTCCCTCCCTACGTCTGCCGATCGAGGCAACATGGCCGACCAAACCAATTCTGTTTTGGGCAGTTTAAGTCGGGCATAAGTAATGTCCAAACGCGTAGTAATGAAAAGTTCCTTTGTCCCCTTCGTGCATAGATCATTCGATCATGCATCACCAGGAACTAGGCTCTGGATGTCGGGCAGTAAGTGCATCCACTGCCTTCCGAAAGTCACCACATTTCATTCCGCCCGTAGCATGCCACTGGGTACCCGAAAGTCGAGAGTCCGAGATCGTGGCCAGATGGTCTCAGAATCGGAC